ACTGGTTATGCGAACTAAATTTTCTCCTTTTTGTTCGTCCTGTCTCCTTCTCTCCAATTTTTTCCTTAAATATTTACTAACAGTAGTTGAGGCTTTCTGCATCTCATTGATGAGTTGAGCATCTTTTTCAGACTTATAAGAAGAATCACCAGTAGATTCATCAATGTATTTGATATCTAAAGAATTTCCAAGACTTACTTTCTCCATGCTTTGAGAATCGGACGAACTCTTAGTATCAATTTTACTGAGATCTGGAGGTTTAGATGAGGTGCGCTGCTCAAAAAAATCGGTGGACCTCTGAATGATTTGTATATTTTCCAGTTTCGGATCAACAGCACGAGCTTCATCTACTGATAACCATACATCCAAACTTGTTCCCTCTAAAATTATTTTATGATCTCCTTCGGTATCCATAGGAGTTTCGTGTACATCAGCTGTTACAGTTTCTTGAATAGCATCTGTTTCTGGGGAGGTTTCCTCGGCAGTATCCTTAGCTTGCATATTTTGAATTGTTTCAGGCTTAAAGTCAAATTCATTTGGCACTAGTTCATTCTTATCACGATTCTCAAGGTCTAAGCTTTTTCCTAAACGTTGGACAGTTCTACTTGGCTCTATCCCTTCTGTTATATTGAGGTCTAAACTCTTGGTTAGTTTTTCACCCATTTTCTTGTCCAATTTTTTAGGGGATTTTGTAATGATTATAGCTTCTTCCAGAGATACACTGGGCTCAATGGTATTTATACTTATTTCCAATTTCCCGTGTCGTTCTCTTACCATTTCCTCAACTTGAGGGAAAACTGGAAGTACGTCTTTTACTGGGCTTTTCAAAGTTTTTGTTTGCTGTATGGCTATCTCATACAGCATTTGTTGTTTTTCTTTTCTTTTTGCTATGATGTCTGGATCACTCTCTTCCTGAGACCTTGAACGTTCCTTGCTACTCATTCTTTTCAATTCTAATTTTTCTAGAGATTTGGCTTTTTCTTTTGGAGCAGATTTCTTGCTAGATTCCAGTTCCTGACTTTTTGTTCTCTTTATTTCAGGTAAAGTTAATGAAGATTGGCTAGGCAAAGATTTTTGTGCAGGAAGTTCTGTGGATGAAGCTTTTTGAGCAATTGGTTTAGCATGTCCAGGAGCTGCCTTAGTAGTCGCAGGAGATTTAGCCGCTAACGGGGTTGATTTAGATGCAGGAGTGGTGGTTTTAACATTTGCCCTTGCGGGTTTTGGAATAGTTTTTGGTGTAGGTTTATCTTTAACAGCTTGGGTTTTTGATGGGAGCTTAGATTTGCCAGTTCTCTGTGTGGATTGTTTAGTTTGTACCGTAGTTTTAGTGAGCCGTTTAGGTTTAGTACTAACATCGGGCACTATTTGATCTCGTTCTTTTTCTTTTTTCTCCGACACATCTTTAGGAGAGGTATCTTCTTTCTCTATTGAAAATACTTTTTTGTCGATAGAAATTTTGTGCATGTATTTTTCTTGCTTGAAAGTGTCTTTGATATTTCTATTATCATCTGTGTCAGATCTTTCTTCAGTAGACTTGTCGCTAACCAAATTATTTTCCAAACCACTATCTTTGTCAGTTAAGTGTTGTTCTTCTTCTTCGACTGTATCATCTTTGCTTGAAAAAGCATTTAAAGGAGGCAATCGACATACAGCTATGACAGGAGTGTCTAGACTCTTGGCTCTTCTGCCGGGTACTGGCGACTCCATGGCTTGCTGTTTCTGTAATAGGGTAAATGCGGAACCTTCTGACAAATTTAATCTGGCATGGGCAAACAAAAGTGGACTTTGTCCTTGCCTTCTCAAAGAGGGAGAAGGAATTTCAGTTATTTTAGTTTTTGGTGGCACCTTTAAATTTTTCAGGTCATTCTCAATTTCAGCTTGTAGCAGCAGCTTCTCCTTCTCTCTTTCGTTATCAATAGTTGTTAATTCTTTATCTGTAGAACATTCTTCTTTCAGAGTTTCATCTATAGATTTATCTGCATCTTCCTTATCTATTTCTTCGACAATATTTGACATTTCTTGAGCTGGCTCTGCAAAAACTGGTTGCATATCAGTTGTCTTTATGTTGAACTCGTCTTCTGAGCTTGGAATAGAGAATGATCTTTCTGATATTCTACGTAACTCAGTTTGAACAGTTGCCTCCAATCCGTTTTCGTGTTTATCCGTTTTCTTTCTAGATGTTGGAGGAGATCCTTCTACTTCTGTTGAAGACATAGTGTACTGCAGATACTTTCTTTCCGATTCAAATTTCAATATAGATTCCATTTCTTTACGCATTTGTGGTGGAGAAAACTCTACCCTTGTAGGAGTCGCCTCTGCACTTCCAAAAACATCATCAGAATCTAGAGATTCATCATCAGAACTAAAAGAAGTTATTCTAACTTTTGTTTTGTTCGTCTTTCCTCCTTTCTTGCCAGGCTGCATTCTAGGTTTTATTATACGTTTTGGTTTAATGTCAGTCTTTATTTTAGTTTTAGGTTTTGTTTCTGTTTCCTTAGGTTTTTCTTCGACATTTTGTACGGCTGTATCTTCAGTTTTCACCTCTCTTTTAATCTGTCGATCGCTTTGTATTATGAATATCTTGTGTTGCGGCTTTATACTCTCCGTTTTGGAGCTTGTAGGAGAGTCGCTCTCTATTTGGCTTAATTTGGAATTTAAAGTTTCTAATAAAACTGGATCAATATGAGTTATATCCCTTTTGGGACTAGATAAATGCTGTATAGGCATTACGCTCTTATCTACCTCTAGCGTTACTGGATTTACCTTTGATAAGTCTATATTTTGTGTAAATAAGAAGGACATTTCAGGTTCTGCTTTAGGTTTAGCTTTTGATTTTTTCATATCATCAGTTATTTTATTTATATCTTGACTTTCCGTTCCGTTCTTCCTTTGAATATCACACCTTTCGTATTGTTTAATTTCTTCTTTCTGTGCCGTTCCATTCATGATATGTCTTTTGTGTAACACATATGAAATGTCTTCATCTTTAGGTGGTAAATTAATAAAATCTGACTGAGTTTTAGCACCTAATACCTCAAATTGACTTTTAGGTACCTCAAACTTCGTTTTAAGTCCTTCCACATCCCTCTTCAATATATCGAAATGACCAAATTCAGCGGTGGGCATTTCAAAATGTGTTCCTTTGTATTTTGTGATTGGCGGAGCGCTCGGAATCTGTTTATATAAATAATCTTCATCACTAGAATCGGCTGGAGTTAAATCTATGGATTTTTGGTGCATTAAAAGTAATCTCCTAGAATTAGAATTTAGACGCTGACGTGCGAGAGAATTTGGATCAGATTTAGTTCGTTCTATGGGTTGGTGCATTGGTAAATCATGAACTATCCTCGGTTCGATCTCCATGAATATGTCCCTATAATTTTTCCTTTTACTTTCAGTCTTTTTCATCTTATTATCAATGTTTGGCACTACACTAAAACCGTGATCTGGACATATATCAGAATCTATACTTTCCTGGAGAGATTGAATTTTATCTTCCTCAAAACTAAAAATATTACTTTCTGACTCCGAAGATCTTTGAGCACTTTGTTGTTTTTTAGAAGACCAGCTTTCCTTTTCGTTTGAAACAATTCCTTCTGGCCAAGCATGAGACTTTTGATATCTATCGTGATCAACTGTGTGAGACCTGTAATGATGAGAGGTCTTTTGTGTTCTTGGAACAGTGTTCTGTTCAAGATTTGCTAGTATACGATTAATCTTAATGTTTTGTTCCGTTTCTACGTTTTGTAAGCTAATGGAATGCACATGGGAAGTTTCTTTAATATTTCCAAAGTTTGCATATTCTTTAATGTTATGATTCATCTCAGCATGATCTTGACTCTGAAACTTCTGAATTCCATAATTTCTTTCAAAGCTAATTTTCCTATCGTATTCGTGTTTATAACTATTATATTTTGGTTCTTCAATAATCCTTGAGGGAGCATCATAATATTCACTTTTGGAATCCAAACTAGAAGCACGAGAATCAAAATAACCGTTTCTTCCATCTAGATGTTCAGAGCTTCTATTTTTCTTAGATGGCCTCTTATTTTCATAGTCAGACTTTGATTCTTGGCTTGATGTTCGAGATCCAAAGCTGCGGTCACGAGATTTTTTGAGACTTTCTCTACTAGATTTAGAGGCCTTGGATTCATAATAGTCACTCTTAGATTCCAAACTGGAGGTTCTAGAGCTCTGTTTAAATTGTTTGTAATAGCTTCCATCAGATTTTCTAGGTATAATCTCTCTTGGCAGATCCCTTGGATCTTCCATAATAAATATATCTTGGTGGACATCTGAACTACTTTTGCACTTATGACGCTTGTCATGGTCCGATTCACTATCTGATGGTAAATAGTTTCCAGAATCCAAACTACAACTTCTGGTATTAAATGGTTTAGCTTTGCGGTATTCCACTGACGTACTGTAATCATCATCGGATTTCTCTATTAATTCATAACTATCGTGGGACAGGTCATCCTGGGAATCACGCAAATCGTAATTGCCGGGATCTTCAACTGATTCTTGAGAGTAACTTGTAGTACCCGGATAACTACTAGAGTACACTTTTTCATCAGGCATCATTATGTCCTGCTGCATTTCTAAACTACTACCTCGGGAACTAGCACTATAAATAGGATGTTCGTCATAACGAGTAACGGGAGATTCTAACTTCCGTTCCTCAAAGCTAATAACTGCTTTTTCTATGGGTTTAGGGGGTTGCGCTCTACGTTTAGCTTGCCCTGTTTCTTCGAAACTGAAATCGTACAGATCCCTACAACTAGCACTACGCTGCCACTTGTGGCGTTTCGGAAGCATCGTAATAGACTTGTAAGTATACTCAGGGGCAGTTTCAGATTCCTGATAACCTAAGTTATTTTGCGACTGGGTCTGTGAGGGGAAATTGTTAGTAAAAGAGGGGGGATGGTCCAGACTACCCTCCGATTTATGACTAGAGGGCGTCCGGGTAGTAATGTGTGTGCGGGTGGTGACTGTGGTACCTGTATCTGCCCTGTGAACAGCTGCGCGGACGGCGAGTGGCGAGCTGGTGATAATGCGATTCGACTTCGGTTCCTCGTACGGCATATGAAGTGGACTCGTAGTCGCAGAAGTCACGGGTGATGCCGATTGCGTCGTCAGAGGAGGTGACGGCGAGTTCGTCGTCTGAGCAAGCAGTGTGGTAGGCCGCGTGTCGGGGGCCGAGCTCCAGGATATAGCTGTGCCGAGGTGGCGAGAGGCTAACTTCATCGTCGGAGAAGCCTGCCCCCCCACAGCTACGCCCATCGAACCCAACGATGCCGAGAGTTTGGACACTTCCACTAGAACGTACAAAAGGTATAGCAGGAATACTAAAAACGCCCATTTTTATCAGTACTAACAAGTCTAACTCTTGGATATGCCACTACTTGTCTTAAAAACAGATACTAACTACTTCAAAACTACAAACAGAAATAACTTCTTGCTTGTTCTACCACAGGATTAAGATATTGGAGCTACATAAGTAACATTTACATAAATGTGGGGTGTTTGTATCAAAAAAATGTGTAGCGTTTTATTATCGAATATTATATGAAAGTTAATGCAAACTGTATAAGCAATTTTTCTAAAAACTTCTTATATAAATTATTTGATTTTAAAAATTTTAATTCAACTTGTGATGTACTATGATTATTGTATACACATATTATGAACGTTATTACAGAAAACTTCTTATTTAAGTAACTCCTCTATGTCTTTACACTACTGAATAAAAGTAGAACAACAACGGAATGAGATGTTAGTTGAGCTTCCTATTAATAGATGGCACAATTAAGGCATAGTTTAGCCGTTACATATGTCCGCCAAATTTGTGTTAGTTTTATGTTTTTCTTAATTTCAAACAATAAAACAAAACAGGGCAAGTTTTTTGACACATTGTTCCATTTTCTTCTAAAAAATATGGCCCAACACTTCATTATACAAAAAAAATAATAATAAACCTATTGACCAATTTTCATACTTTTGGGAGTTTCTTATATTTTCCAACTAGACAGACAAAAAGTTAAGTTTAGAAAAATTGATCGGCAAAAACCACTAGTATCTCAATATCGTTTTTTGTGATGTTGAATAACTTTTTTTATTGTGAATATTATTAATTTTTTAAAGAATTATCATACACATTTGGAGTAGAACCTAGTGGTATGTATGATATTTTCTACAAATTTATATGTTTTTACACAAGATTGTCGTTTATTTTTCACTGATTTTTGAAATCAACATAAAATTTCTGTTCGTACAAATGACATTTATATTGACAAGAAACCTCTACAAAAAATTTATAAGTTTTACAAATACAAAAAAGTTACCTAACACGACAAAATATGATCAAAAATGAAAAATGACCTAAATCAAATTAAAATATCTAGATGTGGTTTTCGTCAACTTTTTTTAAAATAGATGTTAACTATTCGTTGTGTATCTATCTCATCCCGAAATAAGAGAAATCGCTCAAAACTGTCAAAATAGAACAATTTTACAGTTCAATATATTTTATCTGACTGGTCAAGATCGGATGCCTAATACCAAAGTATACGAGTGCCCCAGGAAATCATTTCGTTATCAGAGTAAACGTTCTTGCAAAAAACAAAGGAGCCTACATCGAATGTTTCAAACAAACTTTAAATGTGCAAAGCAGATGAATAATAAATAAATAAATACATCGTTATGTAAAGAATTATGTTTTAATACATGTAAAGGTAGCATCAAGGGCTTTCCCATTTTTTTTTTCTCCAGTTGGTACTTTAGTTCCCTCCGTTTGATGCTTTGAATTTGTAATCTCTTATGTGTGTGCAAGTCGCCAGCCAGACAAAATTAGTTGAATCGTACAAATGTAAAATGTACAATCAAATATAAATTAAAATTAAGATTAACAAAATATGAGACATTTTTATCCATTTATTTTCTTTTATTTCTGTATGAAATAAACGATATTCGACCTTTTGTAAGAATACATGACATATTTCATAATATAAGATATTTATGAAATATCACGTTTCTTTTTCTTTTTGCTTTCAGCAGATTTACTTAAGGGGCTACACCACTGTAATTGCCTAAAAAAGCGTGTTTTTGACAATTTTTTTTTTAATAGAAGGAAAGGTAATACAAAAAACTGTTTAAGTATGGTATTAGGCATGTATTAAGTGTACAGAAAATTTTTCTCTTTAAAAAATATTTCAAATTGGCGGCACTGGAGCATGTTGCCGTCGAGACGTTCCCCACCACGCACAAGAACTAGTACAAATTTCAAGATGAAACAAAAAAAATTGCTTTTAATCTACAAAAGTATAGCTAGAGAAACTCGTACGAGATTGCAAAATTATTGTTTTTTGTAAAATTGGCAAGTGTTTGAATTATATGTTAAATTTTTGACGAAAAAAAAAAGGGCAGTTATTTGTTTATAACAATAGTTTAAATTAACTTATCGAAAAATCCGTAAAATGTTGTTTTAAATATGTGGTTAAAATTTAAAAAATATTGAAAATTAAACGCTTTTAAAGTTTTAAAATGAGTTTTAGACTTGAACACCCACTGACGCTACACTAACATACTTTTGTTTGAAAATTTTGCTTGAATTGTACACGCATGCTCCCTAACGACATCTATAAGTGTATTAGAAAAGTTATAAATCAATAGGTAAGAAGGTATGCGGTACCTTCCAAGCGAGTATGTTCATAGCATATTAGAGACGCCCGACACGCTTCAGAAAAAATGCTCAATTAAAAAAAATTTTTTCATGTATAAAATCTTGCCTCATATTCTAAAAGGTTCAAACTTCCTTTTAAGCAAAAAAAAAAATGATTTTTGAAAATTCTACAGTGGTGTAACCCCTGAAAATGGTTAACAAATATTTAGTAATTTTTTGATTTTCAATCATTTTGCACAAAAACATATGATCACGTAGACTGTGGAAGTCTAAGCATTAGAACTACATTTCTGTGAAGACAAATAACAGTATTGGCTCTATGATCCTGATTCACATACAATCGTAATAAGATTTAGTAATGAAATATTTGCTCTAGCGTTTCCTTACGAATAAATCTAGTAACGGCAATATCAATAAGGGCCAACAGCCCTCGCTATTGGTCCCTATTGACATTGCCATCTAGTTCCCAGAGAAAACACTACAGAATTGCTTATATATTTTATGAAAATTTCTAATTTTATAAAGGTCAATATTTTCCCATTTGCATAATATTTGGACAAATTCAATAAAACATGATAAACAATAAAGTCGTCATGATATTTATGGACTTTATTTTATAAATACTTTAAATTAATAAAATATTTCGTATAGTTTTTCACTTAAGAAAATGATGCTATTATTGTTTATAATGAGTGTCCCAAAATTCATGCATTTGAATTTTGCGGTATTTGTGGGCAAAGTGTTGCCAATGAAAAAAAAAAGAAAACGTGACAGCTGCGAGTTCAAAGTATTTAAAAATGGAGAGTTACATGAAAGAACAACGCTTTTTGATTGTTAAGCAGTATTTTTAAAATAATGACAGTAACAGTTCTCAATTTCCGTACAAAGTATGGTCAGAATGGTGATTTCATGAACTGATGAGAGATTAATTGAAAAATTCGGGGAGACTGGGCTCAATTAGTGCTCTTAAAGATTTTGGTCCTTAGTCAAGAATTGGACATTTCGATAAAATTGTCGCATTTTGGGTTTAAAAAATTCACCAGTTACTGATGAGAAACAAGTGCATCCACGATGTGTCATTGTTTTGTGCAAATTTTGGTCAGGCAATAACAGTTAACGTTGCTCGCTACTGCGATATGATAATCCAGTTTTTTCTGCCTAAATTGCAAGATATGGATATAGACGACATGCGGTTTCAACAAGACGGTGCCAAATAGCCCGAGAACAATTTAATTACTGCATGAGTCATTTCCTGCTCAAGTAATTTCCCTTTTTGGAGATCAGTATTGGCCAGCTAGATCATGCAATTTAATGCCGTTGGACTTTTTTCTTTGGGGTTTTTTGAAGTCTCAAGTTTATGTCAACAAGCTCTCGACCACCCATGCCTTCAAGAAGGAAACTGAGCAATATCAATGAAATTCAGCCGCATTTATGGAAAACGGTCATGGAAAATTTTGAAAAAAATATGTATGTATTCCATACATATCCCTATATGTACACTTTATGAATCAATAACAAAAATTAACAATTTTTAATCACTGAAAATCTGTTTTCTTGGGTAAATTTTTGGGACACTCTGTATTATTTAAGATGAATCCAATTAAACTTACTGAATTTACTGAATGAAATTAATCTAGCCGTATAATGTATAACGCTACAATCTGATTTTTATTTATGGTCGTTATTTTTTTATCATTAGGTCAAAGCTTTAAAATAATTCAGCAAACTATCAATCGATCTCATATGGAAAAGAATAGGTGCGAGTACAGCAGACAGAATCACATACAAAATATTGGCTACATGTCTGGATCTAAAATGAAAACAGGGATTACCTACCGCTCAAATTGCTGTCTGCTAGAGGCAACAGAGGATGGGCGGAAATGCTGTTCCCGACAGTGTTGGAGTGCATGTTGGAGGCACTAGAATGAGCACTAGAATGACGGAAAGAATGTGACCTGCGGCAAGAGAACGAGGAATGAGATAATATTCTACACACTCAACAGTTAGTATCTCTAATAATAACTAAGTTAAGCCTTTTTGTGAAATTTATATGGAGCACAGCGGATAGCTAGTAATTTGTCGTTTCTATATAAATTAAACAACTGCAACATTTATATTTTCTTTGGAATAAAAGATAATTCATGCATGCCTATTAGGGTGGCCCAAAAAAAACGAATATTTTTTTTCGTGTCTCTTGTGAAAATAAGTTAGTTTATCATGTTTTAAGAGCTCCCTCAAAAAATCAGCTCAAAAAAAATTTTTAGAGGTCGCTTCAAGATTTCCAAAATCGTCAAAAATTGAATTTTTCTCGTTATTTTATCATTTTCTAGATTGAAAAAAATCTCGATTCTGAAAATTTCAAATCGATATTTTAATTTCTAAAGGTCACTCATAATTATTTTAACTTTTAAAATAATGTACCTATGTTTTCGAGCGACCTCTAAAAATAAATATCAACGAACTAATAATTTTTTTTTTATTGAATTTGATAAACTAAAAAATAGAAATAAATCACACTTAAATTTTTAAAAATTAAAAAATTATAAATATTTGATACTCAGTGCGGTAGTAAATTTTGCGTCGAGAAATTTTTTAAGTGTCTCGTGATTTATTTCTATTCTTTTATTCATCAAATTCAATAAAAAAAATTATTAGTTCGTTCATATTTATTTTTAGAGGTTGCTCGAAAACATTTTAGGTACACTACTTTGAAAGTAAAAATAATTATGAGTGACCTTTAGAAACTAAAATACTAATTTAAAATTTTCAGAATCGAGATTTTTTTCAACCTAGAAAATGATAAAATAACGAAAAAAAAAAATTTAAAAAAATTAAAATTTTGACGATTTTGAAATTTTTTAAAAATCTTGAGCGACCTCTAAAAAAAGTTTTTTGAGCTGATTTTTTGAGGGGGCTCTTAAAACATGTTAAACCAACATATTTTCACAAGACGCGAAAAAAAAATATTGGTTTTTTTTTGGGCCACCCTAATGCCTTATATACACTGTTAATTAGATACAATATAGAGTTGAGCATACGATATTCTACACCAAAATGAATCTATAATCAGGTTTGTTGTCATTTAAAAAGTTTATAATCAAAGTTTTTTTTGAATACCGAAAATAACTGAAATTATTTTAATGTGACTGTAGGTACAGCTGTGGACAAAAAAAGTTTAAAGGGATTAAAGAACAAAACTAATAAAACCTCTTTATAAAGGACTGCAAGTTGTTTAGGTGGAAATTTTTTATTGTCTACAGCTGTACTTTTCAAAAATCCCTATACAATGAATCCCACCATATTCTAGAATAAACGAAGCAATCACCTTAAACTTTTAAACATTCACTATGATTTTGTATGGGTATATCCGACACTAACTATTAAAAATCTCATCACTTCAATCCACCAATATTGTAATAGGGAATTTACACATACACACACACAGGAGTGTTTTGACAAAAACAAACTTAGGTAATCCGGATATCTACTCTTCTGGAATAAAGGTAAACAGGTATTTCCATTCTTAGTAATAACAAACCTGATGCATATATCAAACTTTGTTTCCACATAATTCAGTGTATAAATGTATGAAATAACAATTTTGCACAATGTCTAAAAAGTATCTAACAAGAAAATATATTTTCTTGAAGGCTCGAAATAAATTGAACTCTTTAAATAACAATGAACTTTTTCAAATATATTTCGTATATCTTTTTGCATTTGAAATATAGAAACGACGTAATGAAAAAAATAGTCCCTTCCTCCTTCCCTTGATAATCTAATGAGATCTGTCGGATAACAGCATTTTCCTTTTTTTTTTAATTTTTTGAATGCTACAAACAACCATGCTCCACACGTCACAAAATAGCTACTTATCTCTTTACGATACAAGGAAATTTACAGGGGAAGTAAAATTTGGATTTTGCAAAAAAAGCAAAGCAACTAATTAATATTTATCACAAAATTCTACTTTTATTAATACTGTAAGCAGATTGTTGTATGTATTACAGGTGTATGTATATAATATATACTTGAGTAGGACGATATATGTCATGCAACAAGACTGCGTACTTACCTTTGGAATGTTTGGCGTTTCACGTAATTGTCTCTCACAAATTCCACTATCTGCTTCTGTGTTTTTCCACTATATCTGCAAAAGAATTATATTATTAGCCGGAGAAACACAAACGGAAATATTTTCTTTACCTAAATGAGCTGCCTCTTGAGAGAACCCTTGTTTTGTGTCTAGATACGCTCTTTACAGAAGCACAACGGAAGAAACCGTGATTCTCGACACACTTTTTCCAAAAATTTTTGCACTCGTTCCTGCCTTCGAAGAAGAATTCCACAGTGTCCTTATAATAAGTCTACAAAATGTAATATAAGAGACATAATAAATGGGGCACCGCATTTTAACTACCAAGCACTTTTCTATGAAAAGTGGTAAATTAATATTCGAAATGCAAAGTAATTACTTAGGCTAGCTTTGTAACTAAAATGAGGTGTAACAAAATATCCAAATCAACGACAAATCTGCTAAAAAAATTTTGACTAGTAGATATTATAACAAATTATCAATAAAATAATTATAAATGCAACATTAATTTCTATTTATAACATTTACTTACATATCCCTCGGGATGTAGCTTGATGAGGAACCGTTTCCTTTTAAATGATATTTTTCTAATTTTCGCCCAAGAGAAGGTGTTTATTTTGGTATAATTTTGGAATACTATAATGCCCATATGTGCTACAGCTAAGTTCAATGGTACATTTTCATGATCTTTAGCTGGGTGCATTTTTATACCATACAATTCACATCTCCTAGCCGTTTCTAATAAGTTCAAATCAGCTTCGGCAGGAGACTGTCCACTAAAAAAATAGAAGAAATGTATATTTATTTAAAAAAAAAGGTATCATACTTTACACGAGAAATTTGTTATCGTGTCCAACATGATGTAAATAATAGAGTTGTATTCAAATTAATATTTCATTTTATCTTTGTGTGATACGGGCTGATTCAAAATTCAGTACAAAGAATTTACGGGAGTATTTTTGAGGTCAAAATAAGACTGTTTTTCCTATAAACGTGGGTCCACAAATGCTTAGTTTTCGATATACGGGGTGTTAGTTTTTTTTTATTTTTTAGGAAAAATTTCCAAACAGATTTGTTACTGGGTTGAGAGATTCTCGCGGTATGCGAGCATTGTTCCCGGGAGTCTTAAAACTGCCGTATTCTCGGAGGTGTTGATGAGGATTTGAAAAAGTTCCGATTATTGGGAACCTTGCGATTAGGAAATCTTATTGCGTACAACCTTTGACCTTCAAGCGTGTTACCATCAGCCAGACCATAAACAAAATGGATGTCAGCCAGATGTTCAAATGAGAATTGTTCATTTTCCATATTGAAATTAAAAAACAAGCAAATGTAGATTCACCAAAACTAAAAACTATATGAAACGTACTAACTTTGAGCGAAACCATACTGTCAACAAATTCAACAGAAAACGTCTAGGATTGTCAAACTACGCAGTCATAGCCTACTATGTTTTTTTTCTCTATGTATTTTGATAATGACAATACTACCGTTTAATCAGCAGTGATTTTCTCCGAAAACTGTTAGTTAAAAATGTAGAGATCTAAAATTCAAGGTCATTGCATTACTGATTAGATGGTGAAAATAAAGAAAATATGGTGTACATTTAACTCTTCATCAGTTAATATCTCGGAAATGGTTGGTCTAAGAGATTTCGACCAAGTATACCTTTTCTGCTTAAAATTGATATTGGAATAAACACACTAATACGAAACGTCAATTTACTGGGTAGCAAAAAAGTTTGGGTCAATTTAATTCAAGCGTACTCTTATAGGTGGCACCCAAGCAACGTCAAAAGCAATGACACATATTTAAATTCAGCATCCTAAAAAACCCCCGTACCCCAAGTTTTATGACAACATTCAAATCTGTTTGGAAATTATTCCTAAAAATTCAAAAAAATTAAAAACTTTAACACCTTGTATACTGAAAACTAAGCATTTGTGGATCTTGTACTGAAAAAAAAATATTAAATTTTCAACTAGTATTCACAAACTGCATTCTACATCAGCCGAAGTCAGGAGAGCATGTTATATTTGTAATGTCAATTTTTAATGGTAGACATTATTACCGTGTAAGATGGTATATTTTCCAATTAAGTGAAGATAGTAACAAAAAAATTGAGAGAATTAAGAAGCCAACTCGATACTAAAAATAAAATAAAAAATTTAAGTTTATGTAAAAAACTCATACATTTTTACAGGTGCCTATCTATTTATAAATACCAACTTTGAACAAAACCATACACAAATAATTTATAATCGGAAGTATATGAAATTTGTTCTAAAAATTGCCCATTGTTAATTTTGAACTATCAATTATCCAAAAAAAAAAAAGGAAAAAAAAAAAAAAAATCAAATTTACTGAAGTTATGACATAGGCTTAGAGAACACCCTGTGTAATTAAAAACAGACGCCATACTTATTTGAAGTTTAGAATTTCATGAAGTGTTTTCTTTTTTCTTTTTTCATGAACTTTTAACGAGGGCAATTAAATCAGATATCCCGATTTTGTGTAAATAAAGTACGTGTAATAAAAGACTTTATTTATATTTACTTTTGACTGTGTAGTAAATTCCAGACAATGTACAATACTTATGCAATGATTAAACAGATAAAAATAGATTCACACAAATAATAGAGTAAAAAGTTTATACAAGAGACTTTATTTTCCCTTATTAATTAAAAAAGTATTAACTCTCCAGAAACATTTTAACTCTAAAAATGTTTAATTTATGTCACGTAATATAACCAGATTTTTTACATCAAGAGAAATAACAACAATTCGTCAATGATTTGCAAAACAGTTATATATAAAAAAATATAGAAGTAAAAAGTAACTCACGCATGTTTCTTGTGATTCTCCATAATCTTCCTCTCCATCTCTTGGTCCTGCTGAGGTACGAACTTATAGCTGGAGAGATAAGTGTGATCAGGATAGTCTTCAGCTACATAATCTCCACATTCGGCTTGTACGATATAGCTGGCCATAAGCGCGGCAGTGTTCTCATTGCACTGCATCAGACCCTGCGACAAATCTCTTTTAACTTGAAGACAGAATAGGTAGCGGGTGTATTCCTCTTCTAGTTGTCCAGGATCGGGTGTGTAAAATTTGACACAGAAATAGAGTAGAGGGTCGACTAGAGAAAGTCCCAGTTGGCGGGATATCGGTTTTTGAAGGTCTAGCCAATACTAAAATAGAAGAAAAACAGTTAATTATTGATAAAAATTTTATCACATTCTCACAGAAAAAAAAAACAAGTAATTTCCTTTTTTATTTCATTTTCCAAAAATTGTTTAAATCATGCTTTAAAAATTCTGGAGGAGTGTCCTGGTTATTTATTATAAAATAATTGTTTTTATTTTTAAAAACCAATCTCATAACATATTTCGCATTTCTGTGTCTCGGCAAGTGGTGAAGTAGAAGTACTTAAACAAAAAATTTTAAATGGCAGTAAATCTTTTTACTCTCTACACAATGGTAAAACAATCTTTCAAATCGGTGTATTAAGTCAATAAATTAAAAACTGCGGTTTCAGGGAATTTCATAATTTGTTCGTCAACAAAACCACATATATCGAAATAAAATTTATTTAATTAAATACTCGAAGTGACCTCCACCCACCATTTAACAAAAGGTCAAATGGTTCTGAAATTTATTGAAGACGTTATGAAATAACAGAAAATGATAGTACAGTAGAACGTAGGTACCAGCAAGTATTAAATTTGAGTTTAGGACAGAAACAATTTGTCCTTATTCGAAATTTCTTGATTTTTAATAGATCAATTTGAAAATTTAAATAGAGAATTAACATTTCGAACAATAAAAAAAATTGTACAAACCACCATTCATAATTTTTTATTTAACCTTGTTATTCCCCCGCTGGTTAATATATAGATGTTAAAAGATTAGTTTTATAGCATAGACAACATAGACATGCAACTTTTCCAGAAATTAAGGATATTCAGATATCGAAGATACGAATTCACTTTTAGATATTTTCCACCAGTGAAAAAAAGAATTAAAAAAATTAAATAAACGCGCGAAAAGCCAAGGTGCTGAAATATTAAGAATACTTAATAGTTATTTACACCATAAATGAGGCAAGAATTATTTACCAGTCGAGGACGATTTTGCGCCCGAGCGGAGCGAGGGCTGGCAATAGAGTCCGAGACTGGTAAATTATACTTAACTGCTGCGTGCTGTATAACATTTTATCTGCTCCCACAGTTCTTTATGGTTCATGAAATAAAGAATACCTAGGTTTTATTTTTTGACATTTCTTAATCAATTCAATTTTGTCGTTTCTAAGGTATTTATAAACAAAGCTACATAAAAGTTGCAATTTTGCTAGTTTTGAATTATTACTAAACGAGTGATTTTCAAATTTTTATTTCCGAGAAGTCGAAAGTCCGCTACGGGCGAGCATATAGTAATTTCAAAGAATGGTGCCAGAACAAAAATACCGGTGTTACTGAAATGTTACTGCTAGCATATTTTAAGGAGAAGTCAGAACTTTAAAGTCACCGGTAAGTTTGTGGAGTGAATAATCAATGATTAAGTCAACTATTTTTATAGAGAAGAAGAGAACATGGATATATCAAAATATCCCAAGCTGAGAACATTTTTGAAACGTAAAAATGACGGCTATGCACCTAAAAAGTCAAACGTTTTTACCTCGGTTTTTTACAAGAGAACAAGTCAATTTGTTAATGAAGATAGTGACGGTCTTATTGTTATTATTCCAGACTCTAAAAATGGTATGTTACATACGTTTACAATTATTACTTCTTGTCTGGGTTCTGTTTCTCACCTAGAAATTCTCAAGAAATATATAGATTGAAAATTAAAACTGAAATTTCACGCTTTTTGCACAGTTTTTGAAACTAGAACATCCCGAAACATATACAGGGTATTCATTCCAAAGAACATCAACAACGTTACTACAGAAGTTGATGTATTAGCAATCAAGAGACATGGTGGATGGAAATCAGCATAGGTCTAATATAGTAAATCTATGGAAATCAGCCACAATTGCAGAAAGTTATGTTGCTGACAGTTTAAGTAATAAAAATGTCGCATCATGCTGTGGATCAGTCAGATAATATTGAGCCTCGGTGACTGAAATGGAGCGGTCAAATCATTTTGAGAAAAATGTGACAATTAGTAAACGCGAGGGGAATAATTATCCAGATTTTATAAATGTTACTAACTGTACAATTACTATAAAGATTCATTCACAATAATTAATAAAAAGTAAAGTTCATCAAATATTTCTATTTATTTGTTCATAAAATATGCTTTTATAACTCGAAATCGCGTTTTTCCCTAGGGAGGTAAGTTACCTCCCGTTGTCGATAACAATTTCCACTTCTACGGTAAAATCCACTTACCTCCTTAAAAACAATATATTAATAGTCTATTTACTATAGTGGGAGCAGATAATAGTTATTTATGCAACAAGTGCAAAAAGTAAGTGTTTATTGCACGCGACGTGAATTTGTCCAACGAGGCCGTTAGGCCGAGTTTGACAACACGTCGAGTGCAATAAACACTTTTTGCACGAGTTGCATACAATATTTTTTCTACGTTAATGAAAAAAAANAGGGTATTTATTCCAAAGAACATCAACAACGTTACTACAGAAGTTGATGTATTAGCAATCAAGAGACATGGTGGATGGAAATCAGCATAGGTCTAATATAGTAAATCTATGGAAATCAGCCACAATTGCAGAAAGTTATGTTGCTGACAGATTAAGTAATAAAAATGTCGCATCATGCTGTGGATCAGTCAGATAATATTAAGCCTCCGGTGACTGAAATGGAGGGTCAAATTATTTTGAGAAAAATGTGACAATTAGTAAACGCGAGGGGAATAATTATCCAGATTTTATAAATGTTACTAACTGTACAGTTACTATAAAGATTCATTCACAATAATTAATAAAATGTAATGTTCATCAAATATTTCTATTTATTTGTTCATAAAATATGCTTTTATAACTCGAATTCGCGTTTTTTCCCCTACGGAGGTAAATTACCTCCCGTTGTCCATAGCAACTTCCACTTCTACGGTAAAATCCACTTACCTCCTTAAAAACAATGTATTAATAGTCTATTTACTATAGTGGGAGCAGATAAATATATTTATTATGTATTCATATTTCAGATTACATCGTTTTTCAGTTTGCTGTAAGCTGTCAGTTTTTCTTTTCGTTATTTCTTTAAGTGATATAAATCCGTCAGAATAAATTTGATCTGATTTTTATATGAAATTCGTTAAAAACCATTATGTTTCAAATTGTTGTAATAATAATAATTAATAATTAGTATTCATATTTATGTTCCAATTAAAAATATTTATTAGTTATGATGGAAATCTGTTTAAGGTTTATGCTTACGTCACTTTTTTACCTAGACTTTGTTATACAATAATAGTTTATTAATTGTAAAAGGTCAGTAATCATTCCTCTAAACATTATGTCCTTCAAATCACCGACTCGCCGACGCATAACATTTACTTTACAGAATAATGAATATGCGAAATCGCTCGGCAACGGCAAAAGTCACCATACCTTTTATGGAGGCGCTCGATATTGTCAGTCAGTCATTCTTTTGTATACAGATTTTACAGGTTTGTTCTGTTTCTCAACAGTTGCACAAATATTTTACAAGAATTATAATACAAGATATCTCTACGAATGGGACACAACCCAAAAATAAAATTAAATCAATACAGATTCAATTCAAAACTATGTAGTTCTAATGCTACCAGTCTTTGAAAAATATGGCCTAGTAATAATAGGTTTGTTTCTACAACAGTCTCACACCGTTTTTAAACTATCGGATATACTCGACCACTTAAATTGTCACGTAATTTCAGCGAATATATGGTCGAATATCTCTGGTAGTTTCAAATCAGTCTTCAACTGCTGTAGAAACAAACCTATTAATAGACAATGTAATGTGAACCTTAAGCTATTGATTATTGTTACTTGCGTTTTTCGCAGCTCAGAAGTGCTGCAAAGTCGCAAGGCTGAATCGCCAATGTGAAAGAGGGCTAACATACTCGTATATATTCCCAAATGTGCCTACCTTAGTTCCATTCACATCTGAGTATTCTAATCCAAAATAGTCAGCTTCTAACAGATGTAGTTGCTTGCAGACCTGCTCAAATAATACTCTTCCTACTGCTTTGGCCTGAAACAAAAATTGAGAAATAGTAATTCCAAATATTAAAAACATATTTCAAAACAGTTGTATAAATAATTTTTAATAAAACATATTTTTTTTCGTTTCTATGATGAAAACTAGTCTATTATCTGCCTGTCTGTTGGTTTCAGGTTGGGTAAAACCTATTTTTTTTATTTACGGCTTTATAATATAATGTAACAGTAATTATTTAATTCTTAGAACAGGTCAATAAAACATTTCGTGACTTCACTTTGAACATAAAAGGGGAAAATCCGCATTTTAGCACAAGATACGAATCAAACTGTCTTCGTCTCTTGTTTTTTCAACGTCCGATTCTTGTATTAGTTTTTAAAGTTAAAACATTCAATAATGGAGCAAATAAAGCTTCCTTTAACATCTTTAAGGTAAATTTGCGGGTGGCAAAAATATATTTGTGAGAACAGACGTCCGCAAGGAATCCCACAAGACATCTGAGAAATCTGTAAAACAATTTCAAGTTTATTTTCAATACGTTATGCATAATTGGCAACAGGAAAGAGCTGTGTATACGGATGAGTTGTTTCCTCATTCTCAGGTCATAGGTATAACGAAATATATACCACTGTTGCGTAATTCGATGATACAGCTGACTAAGAATTTAAATGAAAATAAGAACAATCGAAATTAATATCTACATAAATTTAAAAGTTATAAACATACTAGATTGTTACAATTAGATAAATTTCGTAGGCATGTAAGATTTAAAATGATTTTTATCTTCTATTGTTATTTTATTTTTAACTCAATATTTAGGACACTAATTTTCAGCAACAAGATAAAGTCAAAACATGCAAAACACATCGCAACATTCAATATATTTTAGTAATAAATTAAGGAATATTACAAACATCATTATATTAATTTTCTGTCTGACAATAAACAAATTTAATATAATACGTAGGTACTAAATAATATATAATAATATAATAATTTAAAGTTCCTTACGAAACTCCGTGTCTCAAAACATCTTTTATTTACTTCTTTCTAATGTTAGATTTTTATTAGGTTTTTAAATCCGTTTTAAGGGGCTTACATCTTAGTGTAGCGGAAGAAAGATCTATGTTTGTTTATGTTTACTTTGCTTTTAATATACTTACTCGTATTTACTATCACCGTTGAATGAAAAATAGGTTCATTCAACGTTATCCTATTTTATCAATATAGGATAGGAACCAGACACAATAAAATACTTTTCGACGTGTACTGAGAAACGTATACGTGTGCCATTATACTTCAATTAAAAAGGTTGCTAAACTTTTGTTTGTTAATAATAAAACGTAAATTTTAATTATTATACATAATGAACCGAAATGGACTATTTCTTGCATCTTTCTTACTTTCTTTCGCATTATATTATAAAAGTAGATGATATAAAAATATCATGTTAAAAATATATTTTTTTGTTAACAACCGTAAGATTTAAAATTAGTTATGTCCATAAATCAAGTTCCTTATCGCTGTAAACAATTTAAAAGCGTGATAAATCATGTCGGTATGAAGCGTAATTTTAGTAGATATTTTAATGACTTCATGAAAATGAATGTAAACTACAAATTTAGGTTAATGTCGGTTAAATTAAACAATTAATATCGCCGAGATGGAGCCGCTTTAATCGTTAGTTTAAATAGGGTTTGATTAAGCTTTCTGTGATATGCACAGGACATGAAGCATTTAAAATTGCACGAGATGCTTTACAGAATGAACATTTTAATTAATGCACAACGAAAGTTTCAGAACTGATTTAAATATTATTAATATTAGTTAATGGTGTTAAGAATTAAGTGATCTACTTGTTCGAGCCATTTAATATTAGTTAAATAGAAAGCATAAATTATTACAAGCTGAGCTTAGACAACCAACATTGCAGGGTTGGTACTGGTAACGAGAATTCCCTGAATCTTATCGTCACCAATTCGTTTACAATGAACAACGACAAAGCGTTACGTCTGCGATCGCTGATTGGTTGGATAGAATCTTGTGAAAACTTACGCCAATCACAGCCGGTGAACGTTGTATTTTAATGTAATTTTGATTAAATTTTTAAAATTTTATCGAAATTTAATTGCCAAAGTAAAGGAAATAAAATTACTGTTTCAAATAATATCACTAGCAACGTGGCTGGTAATAATATACGAAGGCTTTGTAGTTTTACTAACAATACCTTTTAGCTTAGTTATTGTATTTATTGTCATTCAGTCGATAGTGTGTCAGATAATAAAAGCTTTTATTATACGTAAATCAAAAATGAACATATAGCGACTAAACATCGACCAAGAAATTACAGTCTCACATTTCAGCCAAGGCACAACACCCAGGTTGAATAATCTAAGTAAAAACGAACATTTCTTTCGATATTAAAGTCTCTCTACGACTATAGTTCGGCAAGATCAAAGCCATAATCTGTAAGGGATTGTACGAGCGAAATTATAACAAAGAAGCAAAGCAATAAATGTTACGTTATTAAATGTAAATATCTGTAATTTCGAACTTGTGAAAAACCCCTAAGAATTTAAATTGTAGAGATAACTGCCTGCGTGACACGAAAATTGTACACGTTTTAATACACACCTCGACGCTTTAAATATATTCATCACTAACTAGTTAACAACATCGTTATTAGGAACAGAAAAAATCGAGATAAGTATACAACTACAAACTACAAGGCATTTGTAATTCAGCGTCTTAAAATCATTAGACGTACCTAATGTACGACAAATTGGTATCTCGACTTTGAAGTGAAGAAGGATTAGAAAATAAAGTAACATCTGGTTTCCGTTGTGAAATCTATTTTGATGAAGCTCTGTAAAATATCTGTAGTATGTGGAAAATCCTCGAAACTAAACCACATGTATGTTCGCTGTCGTAGGTGGCACTTGCTTTGCGGAAACATAAAATTAGTACTGCATTGTACTGAAATAAATATAAATTTGTTTATCACAATAGGGCACATGATACATGTGTGATGTAAAATTATGCTACTCTCCGGTTTTTAGTAGAAATAATTTTGAAATTTAAATAAGCAGTAACCACAATTATTTTAAAATTTCGTTTGTTTTTCAATATTCCCAATGAATAAACTTTGCATTTAAAGAAAAACAAACATTTTAGTTTCGCTAAGAATAAAAATGTAAGTTTGATAATCATCGAACCAATTTTTCAATCAAATTAATGTATTTTACGTTACGCTTACAGAAATTATTCCAAATCGTTTATATTTCCAAGAATAGATGAAATTTTACAAATGCACCCTGATACAGGGTGTAAACTTGAGCTAGTCATGCATCTTTTTTGATTTATACATAAATGTACATGTTTCTTCATAAATGATAGGTCCAATCGTATTTAAAAAACCTTCTCATCAGCCAATAAACTGAAAATTAAAATACATACATATAATTGTAGTAAATGAAGCGGTGAGTGTTTCGCTGAATTAACATTGGTCGTTTGTTTTTTACCTTTCAACTTGCAAATATCAATCATGTAAACAATGATCAAGTACGTGTAGCTGCGAAACTATTGGTCGAAACTGGTCGAATAGCGATCCCCTACAAAGAACGCTTTCATAATAGGTTTTATTTTATTTCGTACGTATTATTTGCGGTTTAATTTTGTTGTTGTTTTATACAGATTTGGATTAATCTGGATGGATGCTTAGCACCGATTCGACTGATGATGTTACTGAGTAACAAATTTTATACATTTTTAATAGTATTTACTTCATTGGTAACACTGAACTACTACATTACACACCTACCAATATCAGTTAATATTTTTGAATCGTGCAAAAAGTATGCATTTTTTAAATCACTTTTTTAATTTGGCAGTTCTTCCGAAATTGATATAAGAAAAATATGGTGACTTTAAAATAGCACGTCATAAAGTCGTATAAAAGCAATTCCACTCGGTTACTTTCATACAGTTAGTTTAAAAAGATAGCAACTGGCAACACTGATACAACCTCTGTCCGGTGTTGTCCAGTGGTAGCGATCCAAGAGTTTTAGTGCATTTTTAAAAGCGAATTATAACTACTTTTTATTTGATTTAAAACATAATTCTTTAAAATTAGTTTCCTGAAGAATACGTTACATTACCCCTAAAATTACCCCCAATTGAATTTACACCAGCATGTAAATATGAACTTTTCAAAAATTACGTAAATGTTTGAAATATGAATACCTCCAAGGATTTTTAAGATGCTGCAACACCTGTGTATGTATGTTCTTCCGGAACAAAATTTATATAAAAATGTAGGTACCTCTATATTTTGAAGTATAGATTTTCCGATCTCAATTGAAGACCAAGGAGCTAGGCAGTATGTACCAGATTCGGTCGCTACACGGCAACTCAGCATTGAAATATTTGAAAAACTTGTTCCCATATTTATTTAGCCATACCCACATACAGATCTGGTCGAACTAAACGTACAGGTGGTAGAAATGTATACAAACAAATGAAGAATGCGCGCGCGAGCAAACGCCTCACAAACACAGCCGCACTGGGCAACTGGGTCATAAATTTCAGTTGTTGACAAATTGCCTAGCAGTCCGAACAAACTTACTTCAACATTTCCTGGCAAGGTTCTTACCTTCCCGTTGGTTCTTAACGAGCAGTAATATATTTTAATGAAAATGTAAATGTTTTTTGATGTCATAACCAAAATTTACCATCAATATAATAAAATTGTTTGAGGGCATAAATAATTAAAATATGTTGTTGGCCAAATGAACACATAATAGAAATTTTCTACACATTATATACAAATTAATATTATTTTTTACCTTTAGCAGAAAACCTTTTTAGGGACGCTTATGAAACTCATTAAATTTTATTGCTAGACGTTTTTATACAAGTTCAACTGACTTCGGAAAGACTATACCACCTGACCTGAAAATTCCGGAAGGCAATTTAGAACCACTCAGTATATGATTTGAATAATAATAATAGCAAAAAATTGAGTTACTAATTTT